CTTGCAGATGAACTGGTTGCTAACCTGACTACTTTAACATTGTAATGAGCTTGTGTTCAACATCTTACCAACTGACAAGAAGTTTCATTTTGAATACAACATGAAGGTCATGATCCAGAAAACTAAACAAAGCTTTGCAAGTTATTTACTGGAACTTACACATTTGATTTATTAAAAATGCCAGCTTGTGAAATTCATGCAGCAGACATGAAGACATTAATGATGGGAGAAAGAAGAATGTGGAGAAATTTCAGTTTGTTCTAATTTAAAGTCAAAAAGTAATTTGATGTTAATGAAAAAATTCTAGTAAATTTCAGTAGCAATATTAATATGCAGGATCAACTGTTTTCAATTTGAAATACATTAGTGAAATACATTACAATACCTACATGTCAAAGAGAATTTTTATATTTTTCTTAACATTTCACTAACATAAAAAACAATGTGGAAGCTAAAATTGTTGTGAGAAAACATGTGGACCCAGGTAGCGCTCCTATTACTGGAGAAAAATCTTTCTGTCAATTAAATCAATCAATCTGTTGAAACGAAATAGTTCATAACTAAAAAGTTCATCATGGAAACAATTTGATCAACCCATCATGCATACATGCCAAACGTTTTTAAAACTCCAAAATCTTTTACAAGTTTCATATCATGGCTAGTTAGATACCTTTAAATAAAAAATTTGTTTTAACACGTGATTGCAACTTTGTTAAAACCATTTAAATCATGTTTGAAATCATCATCACCAATTTACAAAATTCTCAAACTATAAACGTGTCCAGTCCATGATGGTATGAAGTATGCATGTATGATGGGTCCAACACAATGTTGGACCCATAGTGACAATGCACTAGTGACAATACCAACTTTTATTAATGTTACTTCGTATTGTCTGATCAACTTACAGTTAATTATTATTATTACTATTAAAACATTTGCAGAGCTTTTCGCTAATTTCAAAGGCGCTAAGACACAAGTAACAATTTACCTTGGAAAATCTACAACAGATTCAATGAAAACACAAACATTGACAATACTAAATAAAAAGTACACAAAATGTGAGCAAATGTTTAAATGCAAAAGTTGCATTAAAACCGAAATAACCTATAAAGCTGGTTATATTAAACCTCCTAAAGGAATACAACAGCATAAGTAAAGCATATGATAGGGCAAAAACCTCCAAAGCTTTCAGTTGTCCAAAATGACAACAGTCGACAACCCATATGGCACTATGAGCATACAGCACAACTGACAACTCTACACAAAAACCAACGGCTGACAACCTGCAGTGACATCAAAGGAAAGTACATGATGGCAGGCAACTAAAGAGTGCATAAATGGACAAGATGATTATTGCCTCAGCCTTCTGTCAAACAAGTTCCATGAAAAAACAGCAAATCCAAACTATCAGAGTGTGAACTTTTATATAATTTAAATAACGCTTTGCTTGTTATTTAAATAATGCTTTAAATAATGCTTTTTTTAATAATATTTAAATAATTTAAATAATCAGCTATTCATTTGAAATGCTTGCACACTAAAAGTGCTACTTTTAAAAATAATTTTCCAACAGACTGGCACAAATCAGTCATCATTTAGTTAGAAATGGTTGAAAGTTCATCTCAAGCTTTCCTAAAAAAAACAAACAACATTGCACATTTCTTTAAAATTTATGAATTAATTAATTATAATTAAATTGTGTAATCAGTTTTTGATTTAAACGTAACTATAAAAATTGTTTTATCAAATAATCAATAACTTTCAAGAAAAAAAAACCATAAAATGTGACAAAAAAAAATTTGAAAAAAAAACTTAAATGGTTTAGCAGGATAAAAATATAATTAAAATAACAAGCAACAACTATCTAATGAATGCTAAAAACCAATTTTATTGTAATGTACCTACAAAATTTCTTGGCTTAAGGATTTTTAACAAGAATATATGCACAATAATATAATTATATTTGGTAGATTGGAGATAAAGATTGAAACAGTTTTTAAAAACTTATAACAATCACAGACAAATTTTTTTTACAATTGGATTTACATAATACATGACCTTCATTACAATGATACAAAAATCTTGGATTAGTGTCATGCTTCAATCACCTAGGGCATATCACCAGTTCGCTGATAAATTGAAACATTAAAATTAAACAAATTAAATATTAAACACAAAATACAATAAATAAAAAAAAACAATAGAACAGAAACTCTTTTTTTTAATTTGATAACCAAATAATTTGAAAGGTAAAAGTTCAGTTAATTGAATTTTAAATAAATAAATAATAAATTGATTAAATTATTAAATGAAACCAGAATTGAATTTGAAAAGTGACATATTTATTTTTTTTAAACTATTTTAAAAAATCTAACTTTGAAAAAATAAACTAACTAATGAGCCAAGTCCCACAAGTCAAGAATATATTTTTTAATTTGAAAACTTAAAAATAAATTAAAGAATTTAATTTCTTTTTATTTATTAGACTACTAGATTAATTTTTTTTTACAAATAGCTCTTAAATAATTTAATTTAAATTTTTTAATATAAAAAAACTTTTATTACAATATTGTTTTATTTGTTAGTTTGTAGATTAAGGCAAAATAATGGCAAAGAGTTGTTTTTAAATTTAAATTAAATAAATTTACAAAACCTCAAAACCTTTTCTAACTTCTTATGATATTAACTGTTTGTTTACTAAATTTTAGTGATCTAAACTAAACTAATAAACTAAACTAAACTAAATGATAATATTTAAAATCCTATCTTTCATTATTAAATTTGTCTTAACTTAATAACTTATGTTTTAAAATTTAAATTAAAAATTTAAAAATTTAAATGTAGATGGTAAATTTCCATTAAAGATTAAAATTAAAAAAATTAAATTAATTTACACTACATTATTAATTTACTTTTTTATTATTTTATATATCTCTTTTTGTTTTTTTAATAACAAGATACAATTACAATATAATATGGGAAAAAAAGAAGCTCATTTGATTGACATCACATTACATTAGACTATTAGAGATCATTACAATCACATTAAAATGTATTGATTACAATATTGAATGAAATGAGTCTGTCATTTCATGTAATCTGTGATTGTAACAGTTACATCACATGATCTGTAATGTAATGTGATGTCTGTCAGACAGACAGACATGATGAACTGATTGTCGTTGTTGATGCTGGCTGATGTGATGAGATGAGTGAATGAGGAAGAAAAACAAACAAAAAAGAACTACAATTCAAAATATTTTATTTAATTAATTTAATAATTAATTTAATTTAAATATTGAAATATAAAGTTCTAAAAAAAAGATGTTGACCAACCACTTCTTGAATCTTGAGACTTCAAATTTAAAGACAACGATGTGTATTTATGTAATTTATTTTATTTTACCTTGGCTTATTTCAATAATATTTTACAATTCAAAATACAAAAATACGCCAATGTAACGCCAACACGTGTTAGTAAAGTAAGTAAATGATAAAGACCCGAACACGTTAATAGCAAACTGAACAGAATGAATGAAGATGATGATACAATCAACCCAACAACAACACATCAACTAACCACACAACAGAAACAACAATAATTGGATATATGCATGTATGTATGTATGTATGTATGTGTGTGTTTGTGTGTGTGTGTGTGTGTATGTATGTATGTATGTATGTATGTATGTATGTATGTATGTATGTATGTATGTGTGTGTATGTATGTATGTATGTATGTGTGTATGTATGAATATATTTATGTATGTATGTATGTATGTGTGTGTATGTATGTATGTATGTGTGTATGTATGAATATATTTATGTATGTATGTATATATTTATTTATGTATGTATATATATAATATATAATTGTGTAAATAAGTTTGTTTTATTTATTGTATTTTTATTAAAATATTTATATATTTGATGTTGTTGTTATTGTTATTATTATGTATTTGAAATGTTAATATATTTGTTTTTATTATTTTTTCACGTTTTTCCATTAATATTTGTTAATATTTTCGTAGAAGATCTCGGCACAAATTTATCAATGTGAACTATATCACACAAGCAAAAAGTAATATATATATATATATATATATATATATATATATATATATATGTATATTTGTGTTTGTGTGTACAATGTACATACACACAAATTTATATATATATATATATATCATATATACAAATATATATATATATATATATATATACGTGTAACATGTAAAATGACGGTTTGTCTACTTTTATCATGGATATATATAATAATATCCATGACTTTTATACGTGAAAATTTTTTTTAAATATGATAATCAGAAAATATAAGAAATTATTAATTTTTAACATTATGACAAAAAGTTCAATAAAAGCATAAAATGTAATTAGTTAATTAATTAATTATATTGTACATTTGACAAAAAATTAATATATAAATCTTTTAAATATGCTAATGCTTAGCCTCCTTAGCCTTACGTCTATTATTTGAAACCAAACCCCCATAGTAAATGTTTTAGACCAAGGGGCGGTGTATCGAAGATGAATTCTGATAGCTTAAGCTTTAATGTCCCATTTACGTGATATGCTAACGACCCTATAACAGCACATATGCTAACTATACCTGTAGCAGAAAACACGTTTGTAGCGCATATACTAATGACCCTTTAGCGCAATATGTTAATTACTTTGTAATCTGTTTTATAACGCAAAGGCTTATATAATATATATATATATATATATATATATATATATAAACCATATAAACTATATAAAGAATATACTTAAAATAATAATATATACAAAATTTTTAATTTTTATATATTTATATATATAATAATTATAGATCATCTGATTGCATTCAAACATAATAAACTTTTAGTAATAATTTTTTGATAAGTTAACTTTTAGTTTATTTTTCTTAACAGCTGATCCTGCTTGTCTTGGATCTGTATTTGTAGTTGAATAAAAGTAAGATATTTACAAAAATGTCGATGCTGAATTTAATAATTACCGCTGATGATTACGGCTACAATTCTGAAAGAAATCTCGGGATAAAATATTGCCTTGAAAATGGGGCCGTTAGTAGGACATCTGCCATGGTCAATGGGCTGGCCTGCCTGAGTGGGAGAGACATTCTCAACAATCTTCCAAAAAAAGCCACCGTAGGTTAGGTGGTAGATGAAGATCAATAAATAAATTTCAAACTACAATCAAATCAATTAAATAAATTAATTGTGATCGTCATTGACGACCACTGGGGCTAGTGTAGTGTAGTGTAGTCTTTGTTGTTTATCTACTCTTATCGCCTTCTGGTGGCTACTTCGGTTTATAAAACATAAAAATAAATTGAATCAATTAGACTTACTAGACAAACGAAAGAATCCAATGATGAGTGCTACCTCAGTTTTTAAACATTACAGTCAAACATTCATCATTCCAAGACATATTAAGAAATAAATTTATAAATAGACAAAACATTCAATAGTTAATTTTTTAACAATGGTGCAGTCAAGTTTTAAAATAAAAAATACGATTTTAAATCATTAATGTATAAAACAAAACATTGAGTCTTTACCAATACTACTTACTGTTTAGCTCATTCACCGTATGTCTATAAACTGCTCAATAAATCTTAGTTCCATTTAAAATTCAAACTATTCATTGTTATTAGTATAATTATCTGATCAGTATAGTTTAAATTACATAGTTAAAGCCCTTGTAACTTAACTTGTAGCTGGCATAAAAAACATTTTGAGCCAAAATGTTATGGTCTTCATTTCAGCAGATCTTATAAATGTTAACATCTTCTGTGTCAATACATGATTGACAGCAAATGTGAGCTGATTTTCCGTTTGTTTGAACGACCAGGTCTCCACTTGAACCTGACTGAGGGACGACCACTACAATGCCACAGTTCCTTGAGACAATATGGCTTTTTCTCCAGCAAGCAAAGTTTAACAATGTTGCTAGATGATGATGATGTCATCAAGAAATCTGAGGTGACATTTTGGCTTAAATTTACTAAAACTGTTATTATTACCAAAATAAAATTAAAATTTTGAGGTCAAGTCAGAAATCATCTTACAAATCAACAAATTCAAAGAGTTGTTTGGTCTCTATCCACCATATGTAGATGGTCATCATCATGTCCACGTCTTTCCAGGTAGTTGATTAGTCATTTCAATAAAATATTTCAATATTACTAATACCAACGCAGTATGTGATATATTTGATGTATTAATACTAGTGGCAAGATATGTCATCCCATTTACTGCAGATCTCATCAACAACAAATGTAAGTCAATTTTGTTTTTGAACTCTTATCCAGTTGTCAGAGATGTTTTGGCGAGTGTGATGAGTGAATTGAACATCAGAGAGGTTCGAATGCCTCACGACGGCACATTCGACGAGGCACGCGATGACGCCACGCTCAATGAGACTGCAGATGGATCGTTGAGGGATTTCTTGATGTCAGTTAATACGGAGGCAGAAAAGGCCAAGAGCGTTTACAAACATCATAGCATCAAGTACGAATGAAATTTTCATTGTAGCGACAAAACCAAGCAGACTAGTTCGTTCTGAGTTTGTGTTAAATAATTTTCATTACACAACCTTCCCAACGTCATTCAGATTTTCCGACCACTTCTTTGGTCTGTCCACCATGGGTTTGATGATGACAGAAGATAAGATAAAAAATATCTTACTAAAAATGAGAAGCGAAGCAACAAACTCAAAAACCCCAAATAAGATAACAACGTGTGAATTGATGGCCCACCCAGGCTACCCATGCACCGACCCCACCAGAGGGGGGTGCGGTGAGGGAGCTGATCAGTTTGCACAGTCAACAGACAGGCTTCACGAACTCAATGTTCTCAACAGCACATCCCTGAAACAATTCTACCGCGACAACAACATCCATCTGATATCATTAGTCTCATCATGACCGTTCTTGTGTGTCTTCGCTTCGTTTGATGTAACACTTAACACGTTTATTGTTAATAAAACACTGCTAGCGTTTATTTCTCAAAATGAATCGTTCAATCAATTAATTAAATATGCTGACATATAAAACAACTGTGTAAAAAGTAACAGTAATCACCAAAGTAGCAATAATCACCAAGAACTAAAATCCATGTGATTTGCGACAGGTTTAAATTTTTTTCTCCTAGGTTCTTCAGGATCTATCTCTTGAATTTGTTTGCTGCAATATAAAATAATTAAATGATGTCATCAATTACGAAATGAGAAAATGATTTCATTTCAGTGCGAGCAAATTTTAAGCGAGCCTAGTTTCCGAGATCAAACGCAAGAACAAACCTTAACTTGGGGTTGATGTACTTGCCCACTCCTGAACTGAAAACTTTTAACGTCTGCTTGTTTGCTGTTTTGTCATCCAGCTTCTTCCTCCTCATCTCATCATCTTCCTTCAACTTCTTCACATTTGCATCTTCCCGTTCCATTGCCAACTGAACGTTTAGAGGAACATTAGATTGATAACTAAATAGGGTGCAAGTATATGATACAGATTGAGATATGTGTGCGCTACACAAAGTGAAATGGCCATTGTTAACATATTCGCTTGTACAGGCATTCATTCATCAAGTGCCTATTTGGAGATCTCAGATGTCTCATTCGACGATTATTTCCAGTCAGTGACTATATATCAAAATTTTCAGTTTGATCATCTGATAGTTGGATGTTCATACCCTCGAGAAACTGACTCACACTATGCAAATGAATTTGTAAATTACATGAGAACTATGAAGAGCGCCATTCAACTTCACTGCTAACTTTTTCAGCATATTTCTTAAATTGAACAAACAAACAAACAATTTAGTAAAATCCCGATTAAGTAGATTCAGAGAAGTAGTTCTTATTTTGTTGCATTTGCTGCTTCACGGCGTTAGTTACAATTTTTAAAAGTGAAAAAAAATTAATTTTTTGACGTGAAGCGATCTAAGTAGTACGTGTACAGACAAACAACTGAACGACTAGATAGTTAATTAAAAACCAGTCAACAAAAATGCACACTGACAGCTCGCAGAAGTGAACAACAAACCCAACAAAGAATTGAAAAAATATCCTCAGCGACGACAAACAGAAGAGACGAACCTGCTTATCAACTTCGTCGTACGGATCGTAGAAGACGTTGCAATGCTCAATGCATATCTTCTCCTAATATTTGTATGTGCAAATGTAATGAGAGGATTGTTATGACATATTACATACAACCACATCAACAGAAATTGAAGTTTGAAAAGAAATTGCTTTGAATGATGATTAAAAGCGAACGAGCGTACCAGTGGTCTGTCCTTATCATCAGTTTTGATCTTTTCCATCTTGTCCAGCGTCTCCATGCCACCAACCACGTGTCCAAAGACTGAGTGCTTGTTGTCCAGGTGACGTGCTGATCGGTATGTCAGGAAGCTGAACGAGATGGTCAATAATAATTAGTCACAAACATTTAATCTGTAGTTAGCATCGAAATTAGGTTAGCATCGAAAACAATCTGGGTGTGATTCTGCGTTGCGACTCGTAATATAAACATGAAAATATCAGTAATAAATTTCTACATGACATGAAGCTACAAAAAATTGTGAAGATGAACAGAGAAGCAAAAGAAACGTACAAGACGAACAAAGACGAACACAAATGAACGAACTCGATCTAGCAACCAACCAAGCGCACAGCTGCACCAATCAACTCACAATTGAGACTTGTTGGAATTAGGACCTGAGTTGGCCATGCTGACAATACCTCTACCTGTGTGAGTCAGGTTGGATTTGAACTCATCCTTGAACGGACCACCCCATATCGACTGGCCACCGAATCCTGTGTTGTCTGGATCGCCTCCCTGGATCTGTTCAAGCGGCAACAAGGAACAACATGAACGCATTTTGTTAGAAATCATAATAACCATTGTCATAGAGACAATGTTAACATTTCAATCCGTATTTTTCAAAAGAAAATGATGCCAATTAAGGTTGCTGGTTCTCAAGTGGAGTTAAGTAGGGTGAAATTACCACAAACAAAACTGCTGTTGACAAATTTTCACTACAACATCCGGTATGATATAACAGGCAAAGTTATCCACATTTGACAACCTTAACCAGTAACTTGTTCTTTTAATTGCCAATCATACGTAACAGAAAAAAAATTTCAAACTGGATTGACCTTTAACGATCATGAAGATAACAATCTTGTCAAGTTGATTAATGAGAGAAGAAGGAAATCTCAAACTTTTCAAAAATGAAACTTTGAATCAACTTCCAGCCATATTAATGATTCTAAATTGAACTTAGCTAACTGGAGAAACACGTTATTAGCACACAATTATTATGGCTCAACCTTAACAAATCTTAATGAAAATCAAACTTTATTATCACAGCAACCTTTCAAAAAACGCAACATTTAAAATGAAACTTGCCATGAAGTTTTTGATGGATCGATGGAAGATGGTACCATTGTAGTAGCCGTTCAAGCAGTGCTTCAGAAAGTTCTCACATGTCTTTGGCACCTGCAACATGTTGATGATCACCTTCTACTTTCACAAAAGAAACAAAGCGTAAAACGATGCAACGGTTGAGGGGATGGTGAAAGTAGTAGAAACCTGATCGGAATGAAGTTCGATGTTGATGTTACCATGGGAGGTGACCAGTTGTATGTAGGCCTTCTTCTTGATGCGCGAGTACCTCAGCGTGTCTTCGTCAATTATGGCTGCGGTGTTCGTGTGGGTGGCCGTCATTCATTGAAACACGAGGTGAATTAAACACACACTGCTAACCAACGAAACATTGCGTTGGTTGAGTGCAGTGACATCGCAACATCCAACTGATGCAGTGGGATGGATGTTGCGAAGATGAAGTTGAACTGCGCGCTATAAAATTTATGACCAAGTCAGAGTGGAATATTTAACATCGTAGTGTACAAAGTTTAGTGCAGCTCAGATTACTTCGGCACACGTCGTCTTAAAAATAAAAACTACAATAAAAAGAGCATGATTAAGCTATTATAACAAAAAGGTAAAGTACTGACCGGGTTCGAGTCGAGTGACTGGATCGATTGTTGTGGAGGTGAAGGAAGCTGCTACTCTGCCTGTTGAATAGTGGGCCTGCAACGTTAACACGTGCAACATCACCAAACAACACACACACTCACTCACACACTCACTCACACACACTCACTCACACACACACACAAGTCCTACAAACGCAATCATTCCATACACCCCACTACACAACAACAAACTCACAGCATTAACACTATCTGCTTTCGGTTTCACTTGAGATGTGCTGTCCTGTGTTAGTGGAGGAATGTGGCAATTCATCATTGGTAATGTTATAACCATCACTTATAGTTACGTAATTGAGAGGTGAACAACCAAATGAACAAAAACATGAACAGATGCATATGCCAAACGTTAAAGGACTTGTAACCGAACGTGCCAAGCGACATAAAAACAAAGTAGTGAATTGGTGTATGACGCAACGATCCAATGCATTCAGTACAGTGATGGCAACTTCTGCTAACAAAACGATAAAAAAAAGTTGACCTACAGTGGTAGAGACTTTATAAGTGGTGTTGAGTTCTTCGAGGACCTGCTTCGTTTCGTTGTTGATGTTCTTCAGGTGGAACGTTGGATCCTTCGACGCCCGCAACTCCTCTGCGTGGGGGGGGGTATTATACGGGGTGCCAACGTCATCCACGTGCACGTGTTGGTGTCATTCATGGTTTATATCGCTGCTCATTTCACTCACACATCTTTTCAAACATCCAGCCGAAACATCTTTGGCATCATCTCTTCACAGCAATTGACACACCACATCATGCTCAATCAACACCAACGACTGGAGCAACACGTCATAATGCAACATCCAACCGTCCACCAACACGTCATAACGCAACAACACGTCATCCACCCTAACAACCTTCACTGAGAACTTTAAGATTTTTCTTGATGTGTAAGAAGCTCGAGAAGTTGAACTTATCCAAGTTGCTTGGGTCTTGAATGGTGATGATGTCCTTGCGTGTGAATGGTTCATCAGTCAGCAGGTCCTTCCAGTAATTCACCTTGATGTTCAACTTCTCAATAGCCTGATGAACAGTCAACAAGTTAAAACATTTATTTCCAGCGTCAGAGTCGGATATAAATGTTTTCGACTCCAGGTTTCGGGTAAAAACTTCCGACTCCAGATTCCGACTCCCAAAACAAATTGCCAACTTTTGCTTTATAATTTTACATAAATTAGAGATATTTCAAAAAAATTTAAAAACAGTCAATGTAATCACTTTTCTTACTAAAATAATTTTGTATATATATGTATATATATGTATATATATATATATATATATATATATATATATATATATTTTTACAATATTCTATAAATTCTACCGAATGTTTGGCGTTAATATGTTTGTAGTTCGTTTTTTCAATTTATATATATATATATTAAAACATATTTAGAAATAATGATATGATTTTATTCACATTGTTATCATGCAGTTTCAGTATTAACAATGATTGTGTACCACTGTTGCTATGCATGTGCATTCTGGAAAACACGATTTTGTATAAATACTTATAGAATAAAAAAATTCAAATTCTTCACACTTTCAAATAAATAAATGAATAAATATATCTACAAATAAAGAAAGAGAGAAAGGAAGAAAGAAATGAATAAATATATGGATGAATGACTGAATAAATGAACAAAAAAATGAATAACAAATGAACGAACAAACAAATGAATAACAAATAAATAACAAACAAACAAATGAATGAATGAATGAATGAATGTAGAAATAGAAAGCAGAAACGAACATCAAAGCAGAAGACATTGCCTGTAGTTCTGATGGCAACAATGTGGGTGTTCTCGTTGAAGACTTTGAATGTTACTGGGCAGTGAAACTGGTCTGTGGGGCGGTGGTGGCGGTGGTGGCGGTGGATTCATGGTCACCTCACGATGATAACGATGATGATGATTACATTAACAGACGCACCAACCCAGCCAGCCTAATTCTCTCGAGCTGGTGCATCTAAACACATAAGCACATACATTTCATATTCAAGCACAACTCACGAACATCAAGGGCGGCGTGATGGCTCAATGGTTAAAGGCGCCTGGTCTTGCTATTGCAATGACTGGGTTCGAATACAAAGAGATCCCCGCCTATCATATGCAATGTGTATGATGCGTGGTTTGCACGCGTATTCATATACGATGTGTGTGTTTGTTGTTGAAACCTCTGAAGCAAAAGAAAAAGAGTAACCTTTAACCTAACAACACCAGGTAACAAGAAGACCCACACCACACACGCATACACACGCACAACACACTCACGCACAATGCAACCAACCAACAGACTGACCTGATGAATTCTTGCAGAAGTTCAATTTGATGAGATCCTTCCTCAACAGTTTCTAAGTTGTTCATTGAAAGTTTTTTAATCATGATAATTAACCACATACACAGACATACAGCAGATTAATAAATGAACTCAATTTAATTTCAACGTTCCCAATTATTTGTCAATTATTTGTATACGTATACACACACGGACACACACACACACACAACACACATACATGCATACATTCACACACACACACACACATATACATATATACTTACATACATACATACATATTATTTGAAGGTTGTGTATGAAGATGGAATAACAGAATTGATGGTTACAGAATAATACGGCAATGATATCTGAACGAAGAAAATGATCAAGCCTACCTCTCCGGTGATTGGGTTGATGCCGTATTGCTTCAAGAAAGACAATATGTTTCTGTTTTTATTAAAATAAATAATCATAATAATCATCATTTTTACAATTATATATTATGTTATATATATATATAATTATATATATATATATATATATATAATATATATATATATATATAAAGAAATAAATATGCATATATACAAAATATGTCAAAAATACATGTATATATAAAACAAGTGAAATAATAATAACAATAATAGTAATAATAATAACAGCAACTGATGAAAAAGATATGAAGAAGAAGAGAAGGAGGTCAACTAACAGGAGTTCAAATATGTGACCATCCACTGTGCAGTAAGGCTTCTCGAATGGCTGCAAACTCAAACTGGTTATGAAAGGAAATTAGTTAAAAATAATAATAATCAGAATAATAATTATCATCAGTGAAATCATCATCAAAACCATATTTCAGACATTCTTTAGCCAAAAATGGTCTGCAAACAGTAACTCTCGACTTGATTGTAACAAAAAAATGATAGAGCCAGGCTCCCATTTAAGCATACAAAACGTAAAAAGTGAAGTTGCTGAAACAACTGGCGGCTGCAAAGAACGACCTGCAACAGGAAAATGGAAGCCTCCTGAATTTTGAACTCTCCCCTGATTCAGCTGTTGGCTTCTTGCCTCCATAAAACAAACTCCACTCTGTTGTTGTGAGGTACCTGCAGTTCAAAAGTAGTTGAGCGTTCATTTTTTCATTTGAATAATCATCACTGATATACCATTTCGTTATGCCAAGCTCATAACTTTTTGGACACAAACCAAACTTATCAACTTTCATGGACAATATCAAATACACTGTATCAGTTTTATTTATTTGCAAATTGTGTATACTTTATATTAAAAGTTTTTCTTGATATTCCAAAGTTATAAAATGATAACTACAAAATCTTTTTTTGCTGCTGTTATGTGGAAGGAACACGAATCAATTTCATTTATCCATGCTACACATTTCTCACCCACATAAACGTATAAATGCAATGAAGGAGAGCTTGATAATTTTTATTTTATTTATATAAAATTTACTGAAAGACAATTTTATTCAAAAATTTTTCATTAATAAAATAAAAACTAAAAAAAGAATCCGTGGCTAAAAGTCCTTTCCTAAAAAAGTAACCTTTATTACTTTTTAAAGGTCCATAATTCATAATAGTCCAACCCCATTGTTATTGTTAATATTTAAGATAGTTATGTTACTAATCTAATCTATTTATTTAACTTTTTCTTCTTCTCGTGCCTTATCCCTTCAGTACATTGGCAACCATCGACCTCCATAAAACCCGATCTTTAGCTCTGTAGTAGTTGAAATGTGGTGATATTCAACAAGTGACACAAGGACTTCACGAATGTTATTTGTTGTTGACCACAATCTCTTTATCCTGCAATCTTTCCAGTAGTTGTTAGATTTTCCATTCTTTCCTTCCACATGATGTGACTGAAAAACTTAAACTTTAATTTTGTTGTTATTCTGATTTTACTGTTGTTGAGGATGTTTTTCGTTTTAGAATATGCATCTTTCACCATAGCTATCCTTTTTTTGATATCCACATCACATTTACAACCTGAGGTAATCAGACATCTGAGATAATTGAAGCTGTTGACTTGTTTCCCTTGTTTACTTTGCTTAAATGATCCAAGAGCAGGTTGGGGAAAGTTTGGTTTTACTGATACCCATTAACTTTTGTTTTTTTTATGCTAATTTGCAAGTTTTTCCTTTCACTTTCAAAACTTAGTTTGAAAACAATTGTTTGTAATTTTTCTATTGATTCCGTTATTAGAGCTATGATCAACATATCTTACATTGTTAATATTCTCGCCTCCAATGGATAGTTCATCTTTCAATAGATGGACTGAATAGCTAGCTATAGCACCATTAGAATATCGAATTCTAAATATCAAATATTAAGTTACTTTCCATTTCTATACTAATAGTTTTAATATAGAAATGGAAAGTAGCTTACAATGTATAGTAAAACTTTGTCATATTTTTAGCTGATAAAAATATGAATTAGAATATGTGAGCCTCCACACAATAATGAATTAATATATTAATGTCATTAATTAATAATTTTTAAATATTTTATTTCTAGACTGAGAACATGAAATGGATAGACTCAGTCCAGAAAATTGTTATTGAAAATTTAGACAAGTTTTGTTCTCCAATGCATTAAAACTAACGTCTGGTTTACGTAACGATGCCAGAAATTTTCTGAAATTGAGAAATTAAAAAAAATTACTAACAACTTGTCTTTCTGGTGTTGTTTTTTTCCCATTTTTATTCAACGTCAGTGAAGACAATTTGACTTATTACATATAAAAGAAAATAGATTTGAAAAAATAAATTGTGGGAAGCCATACACTTAGAATATCTATACTGGCCCTCGAACGCACCGTGCACATTTTTAGTGCGCTTTAGAGACTAAATATTCTTTAATTTCCATGTAATCAAACTACGATTTTTTTTTATTTTTATAGTTTATTAATAAATGTTTTTTTATTTTTTAAAAATTTTATTGATTTTAAATATTTTTCAATTGATTTATTTCATGCATTTGCATATTTCAAGATACTCAGTTACTTTTTATGGCCTCATATGACCACGTCATGCTTGACAGACATCTTTTATGGAAAGCTTGAAGTTTCAATAAATTTAAAAAAATAATATTAAATATTTTTTTATACAACTTACAAAATTCTTAACAATAAAATTTCAAATCAAAGTTAAAATTTAAAACTATTAAGCTTAGAAAGTTTTAAACTATTATTATTAAATTATGCAAAAAAAACTAAAGTGTACTAATTGAATCACAGAAAAAAATGAAGCGTTTGATCTGAGCGCTGATCTGGACAATCACGTCATTACACTGTATTTTTCCTGGATATATATATCCAGAGTCTTTTTTCGTGACGCGTGATGTCATTGTTTCTTTCGCTTCTTTTTTAAGTAGAGAGCATAATGTCTTTATGTGTGTTTATATATTTCATTCATTCAATGATCCTCTGTAGTCCCTTAAGGGACCGTTGAGGCCGATTGTATTCTTCTATCTCTCCAAAATCCTTTTCTTTCCCTCGCCATCTTCATTGAGCCCAATGTTCCAACCCCCGTCCATTCCGTGATATCATCCATCCACTTCCTCACAGGTCTTCCAACTTTTTTCTTCCAGTCCCTCTTTCTCATCAGTACTTTTTTGATCAGTCTGTCGTCTGTCATTCTGCAGATGTGCCCAAAGATACCCAGCTTTCTTTCCTTGACCCTTTCATACACAGTTTTTTGTCTTCCAAGTTGTTTTCTTATGGCATCGTTTCTTATCTTTTGTCTCCAACTGATTCCCAGCAACTTTCTATAACAATGCATCTCGAATGCTTCCAGTTTGTCTTTGTCTCTTTTCTTCAACGTCCAAGCCTCACATGCATACATCAATGTAGAAAACACACACGCTTCTACGATCTTTAACTTTGTTTTTGTAGATACATTACCGTTTTTCAATATTACTTTCAAAAATGCAAACATTCCTCTCGCGATTGCTATTCTTCTATCAATTTCTTTCGAACAATTATTGTCATCAGTTATGATGCTGCCCAGATATATAAATTGGTTCACTTGTTCGAGCTTTTCTGCTCCTATCTGGAATTCATCATGTTTCCACCTGCTCCGAAATCAT